CGACCTTCAAAATTGTTATAGATCAATCCAACAAGAACTTTGCATCACTCATCACTAGAAAACATAGTTGTAAAAACAATGTATTACGCGTTATAAAACAGTCGAATAAATTTACAAATAATAAACAAAGATAACGATAGAAAAAGCTCACGATTATCACTTCGTCAAAACAAAAAACTAACGAGTTTTGCTACAACTTATAAAATGAATATTGTCACTAGAAAATGAATAAGAAAATCAGTCCGCGGATTCTCATCTACAACTGGCAATGGACCAGAAGGGACCACATGGCGGTCACTAAGGGACAAAATTAGAGTAGGAAAATATGTTTGGACAACCTCTTGAAGCCATAAATTGTATTATACAGGGCAGTATAAAAGCTAAATACGTCGGAAATCACCCGAAAAAAGCGTTTAATTCACCCTCATAAACGAACCAAATCGACATATTTATTACTTTTAATGGATTGCACGTACTTCGTAGTATGTTATTTAATTCTAAGGGTTTGATCATATTTTTGTTGGGTGATCTCCACTGTTGTCAATTTAAATGCCCTGTATAAGTCGTGCGTCGGCCTGAAAATTGTAATTGACAACAGAAACCCCACATTATTAGGTTGCGATGATTACCTCATATGTCATTGTGATGGTTAACACCAAATTTTCAATGAATTCAAACACGATAAGTCTAGAAAAATGTCATTATTAAAAAGTATCTATAGCGAAACGCGTAAGTACGTCATTTAAAAATACAAAACTCTAATTCTGTACATAAAAAAAAAACCTATTATCAACGAATATTATAACATATACATTAATTATGTATATGATTTTGTTACTCTCCATGTGTTCGTCTATTCACCAAAATATTATTATTTTTGTTAACAATGTTGAATATACCTATATGAATAACAAACACACATATCAATCGTTGGTTTCAAGAAATGATGTGTATTAGTTTTAAATATAAATATGACGTCTAGTTTACGCAATTATCAATACATAAATAAAAAACAACAAATGGCGCCTACTTAATATTTGTGAGTAGGGTGGAAACGATTTTGACGCAGTATTTTTAGTCACCTTGTGTTTAACGTGATCTTACGGTCAATAATTTTTTGGCTAAGAACAAATATCTATTTTTAAAATTCGATGTTCTACCTCTGCCGTGCCCACGAATTTCTACAAGGTTCGCTATACATTTTGAAGTTATACTTAATTTTTTTATTTTATTTTTATAATAATTCAATTTTAATGACAACAATTTGGAAACAGTTTTCTTATTGCAGGTTACAATAGCATGTCAAATGCACATTGTACACGTTAACATGTTATCCAAATACATGCAAAACGATAAAAAAATAAAATTAATAAAAACAATTTATGTGTAGGTGGAAAAATGTCTTATGGCTTGACACACGCATGCATTTTGGATGTCAACACTCAACACTGATATTTTTACAATGTGCCAAATATTAGATACCTATATTAAAAAAAAAGTAAAGAATATAATTGTATACGAATCTGGAAAGACAACCCTTCTCCCCAAATTATTTTAAAACCAATACGAATTGCTCCACTTCTAACCTAAAATCAATAACCATATTGTATACCTACAGTATAAAAGGTATGGATGAGGTGATGGGCTTTTATTATTTTCATGTTCTTAAAGTTCCGAAGCTGCTTTCAAAGTTCAAAGACCAAACAGACCAGGTGAAGCAATAGAGTGGGATATTTTTTTTTGTATTTTTACTAATTTTTAATATTTTAAACATTTCCAATGCTTTATAAATAATTGTTAAACTTTTTAAATTTTTTTCACTGAGCGGTTTTCTGTATGGATTTTTATTATATAAATGTTTCCTATTTAGGACATCAAATAGATTGTTTGACTGAATGGTTTTAATTACTGCACTGACAGTGTACTGAAACCCATACATTATATTTTTATAGTTATCATTATTTATAGTCACCCTCTGTGGTGATTATGAAAATATAACTATGAAATCTAATTAAAATTTGATTTTGTCTCAACTCTCAATCTTTTTATAAGAAAAAAAATTTTTTAATCCTGATCATGAACTATGATATTATAAACCACGATTAAAAAAATTGGTAGAATGGTATGATCCACAACTGTGTGATACGCCATTGCCTATCACCTATCCCGTAGTTTTCAGCATCTATTATATTATATTGACAATACAGGCCAATGAAATGTGGAGAACTATGATCAAAGGTTTTGTGTGTGGTTTTTTTGTATGTAACCATACCTATTTTATATTTGATCATAGTATAAACTATCTTAATTCATAATTATAATCAGTACATGTACAACTAAAAACTATTATAATTATGATAAGTCTGCAGAGGAAGACATGGCATACCAAGCATCCTCTGCGACGGACACGCCTATGCCAGTAAGATACTTTGTTGCACATTATACGTCAGAGGAGGGAATTGAGAAGGAAATCGACGAACCCGAACCGAAGGTATTAACCTAAATCGTTATCAGTTCTTATTCTAAGCAAAGGACCACTTAGATACATAAACTAAATTAAAATAATTAACTAATTCCTCCACGCTTGGTGTAACAATAGTTTTAAGGTAATCCATTTCTTCTTTGATGTGATTTAGTGGCAGAAAAGCTATGTAGTCCATAGTTCCATACTATCTATAATACTCAATATCGGTACACACTACACTCCCAGGATACTGTGGTACACAACAATGTTTTCATAGAATACTCAAGAGAGAACTTCTATTATTTTCAAAGACAGATAAGTAGGAGATACCTGAAATAAACCATTGAACATAAGAAATAAATGACATCGATATTGACTGCTTTTTGAATTACTAGATGGTAGCGAATTGGGCGATTTTGATATACAATATTGCAATTTTGAATCAATGAAAATCTGGCAACACTGTTGGCAACGACCGCAGCACAATATTCAGCTCACTGAACCGCCATATAGATAATACATAGAGTAATACTACTCCAATACTACTAATATTACTCTATGAGATAATACCATAATATAATACAGTATGATCACTTCCTATCTTTTATTCGAGCATTTTTGAGTCGTTAATCGTAATTTGACGGCATTTAGGGCGGACATTGTCGCTAAGGCTGATTTTTCAAAAAATTATGTGTAGGTAGCGGTACATGCTCAACGAGTTGGTGAAATCAGAATTTACGAATCTAAGTATCTTAGGAACTTACTTTTTTTTATTGTTAATAAATCACGTCAAAAAGTAAGTAAGAGAAATAAATTCTGATTTCATCAAGGCGTAAAAATACTAACATTTTTTAAACATAGGAAAATTCCAAAATATGTAAATTCTTAGTTAAAATCAAAAACAAAAAATATTTAAAAAATCGAGAATTTTGAAGTCTTTTGATCATAACTTACAAATTAAGTTTGAGTGATTTTTTGTACCATCAAATTAACCATGCGAACATACACATTATGAGAAAAATTGTTTAAAAGAAGTTTGTAAGCTTAACTGTATTTATGCCGAACTTAAAATTTTACTTTTGAATTTAAATCGCGATAGGTACTTTTCTGTACCTACTCAGAAAAATCAGATCTATAAACTATAATAACAAATTATTCAATAAATCATATTAATTACAATGACTAATTGTTAATTAATGTACCATTATTATGTCCATTTGTTCAGTTTTTAAACTGACTCATATGAGTTAATTATTAACTAATATAGAAATACCTACAATACATTTTGACCATAACTTACAAATTAAGTGAAGAAAAATGTGGTGTTTCATTAAGATATTCATTTTTCTTTCATAGTGTAATATCGAAGATGACAAAATATTATGTTGCTGCAACGACGGAGCAAAATAGAAAAGAAGGAAGAAGGCAAAAAGCCGCGGCTTGACATTTTAACGGAAGAAACGAATGAAATATGAATTACCTAATGGCTTGAAGTAAGAAACGAGATGATGGACAAAAATATATAAACCAATCCACCTACAAACGCGGACCAACCGTGGTCAGTACTTGGACTTTTTGGCTTTTACTAGGTAACCACCTTTACTTTTATCGTAGCATCTAGTGCGCATGTGCGGTATACAATGTGCTACCGCAGATTAAATTATTTTTAATTTAACTATAATTTAGTTGATATATTTACTTCAATTGTTCAATTTCAATTTTCAATGCTTGTCTTGAATATTGATATCTTATGAACCATCATGATTCAGTTTAATTAAATTGTTATTGTGGAATGATTTTTAAAACTGGAATTTAATAATATTAGGAAATAAATAACTTTGGTAGGTATTATATTATGCATCTTATGTATTAGGTACCTATATGTCCGTTTTTGATTTGTAGGTAAAATAATTAATACAAATATCTTTTAAGTTATTATATGCTAACGCGAGTAGGTTGATTGATTTTTTTCAATGAAGTTTGTCATTAAATTACTTAGTAAATTGTACAATAATATAGATAGGTAGGTATTATTATAATTATTTCTGACTATTATGGAACCATGTACCAAGACTACCAAGCATTAACCATCACTTTAATTAATTCAAATACATCTTTCATATGGTTATTTTGAAAGACACATACCCGACTACCTACTGCAGATGTATTTAGTGACCGTATATTATGCATCTTTTTTATTGTTTCTTTCAGTTATTTAAATAATTAAATGTTCCTGTCATTCCTGACCTCAACCACATAAAAATATGAAATTTTTGTAATCAGCTTGTTAGGTACGTTACAATAGAAGTAGGTATAAATGTTATAATTTGGGTGTAACATTTTATTATTTTTAGTTAAGTGTTAGTCTTCAATTTACTTAGGTATGCTGTTAATATATTTTTTTTAAATTATCTCTATCTATGATTCCTTTGTCAGACTAAAATAGTATATAAAACAACAATATACCTAATCATATATTTTGAATGTCTATTAAAAATTTGAAGAATTATTAATACATTAATCATTAAATATTGTTAAAAAGAACTAAAAAAAAAGGCTACAAGACATAAACACCAAAGGGGCATAAATTTATATATCATGTGCGCCACAATTTGTAGGACATAAGCCCCAATCTAATATTAAATGTATACCTGTTTTACCCAATAGACGGCATAACAGCCCAATATATGAAAAAGGGAATATTATTTGCACCAATATTAATATTTTATAAAAGTATTTCAAAATTGTCAATAATCGAAAAAATATAATATACATAGGTACATGAAAATAAATATAATTTAATAAATTGGTTGATTTTTTAACCCAAATTTTTGCTTATTCTAATCGACTTACTTCACCTCCTTTGGATTTCTTCAATTACACAATAAATTGAGGTTTTTGTAAAATCTTAAAGCTCTTACAAGCTTACACGAATACTTATTAACTGTATCCACTAACTATGTTATAAGTTATATCACAAAACTGCTCACACACAATCGTGTGACAATCTATTGTAATCAGATAATATATTTGTCAATTAAGATTATGCGTTTGGAGTTTTTAAAAGATATAATTCTTAATTTAATATTTGCTATCAATGGCTTTACGCTGTAAATATTGATTTTTTAATAAAAAAATTAGAGCCAACATTCTTCTATTTTTTGAGGTGAAAATGACATTATTCTAATATATAATCTGGGCATAATAAAACTCCATAAACATATGTTTAAATTTGTTTTCTCGCCATTTTAAAATATGGATATGTAATAGCCCATGATTTCATTATTCTGGTGGTTTTTTTCAAGGTTATTATTTCTCTAAATTTTTCAATATTGTGTTTTAAATAATATAGGAAACCAAATATTTAAAAAAAACATTAAATTATTTAAAGGAACAAATAAAAAAAAAATTAAAATAATAAAACATATCCAGGTATTGAAAATGAAAAATGTACATTAATTTATATCAGCACAGGACCACGTTCTCTTAATAATTGTTCTTTGATATTTTTTAAAGATTTGTATTCTATATTATTGTTTAATTCTTCATTGATATCTAAGAGTTCACGAACCATTGATTTTACTCTTTGCACATCATCTGGCTGATCTTTAGCTGATATTTTTAAAATTTTATCAAATTGTATAGCTTTAGATGGTTTTATTTCATCAGGATATGATACAATAGCATCTGAAAAAAATAATTTAATATTTAAACTTAAAATATTGAAAAAAGGCAAGTAATTCACCATCTAAATGTTCTAATTGATTTTTGATCTCTAAATATTTTTATTAGCACCTTCAGTGTCCATTTTATTAATTATTAACATGGCAGGTTTATCTAGTAGTTCTTCTCTATATAACTCAAGTTCCTAAAAAGGAAATACATATTTAATTGATTTGTTGATTACAATAACATTAAAATACATACTTTATTAAGTAAAACTACAGTATCCAAACATGACCGAAACTTATGCTTGGGATTTAATTGAAAACCATTTATATCAACAACGAGAAGAAGTAATTTTGTCCTCTCTACATGTCTAAGAAATCTATGTCCCATTCCAATATTACAATGGGCTCCTTCTATAAGTCCTGGTAAATCTGCCATTGATATTTGTCGCAAGTCATCATAAGTCATAACACCAATATTGGGTCTTATGGTTGTAACTGTAAATAAATAAAACTAATTGATTAAATTAATTTCATTAATATCTTTAAAAATATTATACTTGCATGGGTAAGAAGCAATTTTGAGTTTAGCATTAGAAATGGCTTTTAGTAGTGTAGATTTACCAGCATTTGGAAAACCAACAAGACCAATATCAGCAATTAATTTAAGTTCAAGTTTAATAGATTTGCATTCTCCTTTTAAACCACAATATCCATTTGTTTTGTTGCCTCCATCTCCACCTTTGGCAACTATTAACTCAGAATCTTTCTCATTCAATTCACCTGTAAAATAAAGACAACATAAATGAAAGAATTATGTAAAAATTGAACAGTCCATCAATATAATACTGTAGGTACCTATAAGTAAAATACATATTTTTATCCTAACAAAAAGAACAACATAAATTGTACGGAGCAAGATAATACAATTAAAAAATAATTATTACTTACCAATTAGCATATTTTTATCATCATAAACGGTGATGCCAGTAGGAACATTTACTTTTTTGTCTTCGCCAATTGGACCAAGTATTCGCCTAGAATGACTATTACCACCCATTTCTGCTCGTAATTTTTTTAGTGGATATTTTTTCAAAAAATCCTTCAGCGTCATACCTATAAATTTAAAAATATGTTTAACAAATAATAGATAAATAAGCCAACCAGAACAACAAATATACTTGTATTAAACATTTTATCTCACTTGATTTTTAGATTTTAACAATTTTGAACATTATTTGTGCTAAGAGTATTTCAATTCAAAATAATACTAATTTATTACTAAATTATTTAAACTTTAAGTCATAATCAAAATAATAATAAAGTATAATACTGATATTATCACGGCTCATGAAACATGATGTAAAGTTAACATTGTAACATTTTATTAACTCTATTCATGAAAAAACCTACTAATCACAATTAAAACCACATCTACCTTAAAATATATTCCTAGAAGACCAACCTGAAGTTTCCTTATATATTGTTTGTAATATTTTTATTGTAACATTGTAACAACATGAAGTATGTTGTAACAATTAATTAAATAATAAAACATTAACATATTTCAATAGATACCTTCTGCAGCTACAAAGCAGACATCACCTCCTTTACCGCCCTCACCACCATATCTGGGAAAACCAAAACCACCGGTCCCGGCTTTTACATGTATTCTTAATGAATCCAAAAATTTAGAATTCTGTTTCAAATAATTACGTATGGGCTGCAACAAAAAATATACCATAACAATAATATTAATAATTTTAGTGAATATATCTTAATTACTTTACCTTCACATCTTTTTTCGACGAACTATATTGACGAACAATTGTATGTAATAAAAGATTTTTGTGGAGACAAAACATTGTTGAAATTGTATAATATTTACCATGTACAATTATACATAATTGGAACTTATCATATGTGTTAATAGGCACCATAGTTTGCAATTTTTACTTTACGATATTATGATAATTATTAATAATTACTATCAGAGTTCTAAAATATTAATTATAAATATTATAATAAGAAATAAATAATTATTATAGGTAGTACAGCCGTACAGGAGCGTTTCAGCGTTTAGCGTGTTCGGCAGTCGTGATCTACGATCATGTACATTCGCCGCTTATCACTTCTGATAAGACGGTTATCGCAATACTGAATATTATATTGCCTATCTATATATTAAAAGGGGTTTTAATAAACATTCTTATTTATTTTTCAGATATGATTTAAGATTTCAACTTTCAAAATTCAAGATTCAAGATGAATAAAAATAATTATTATTACTATTCAGATTATAGGTACTATTCAATATGATTTTATCTAATTTGAACAACGACACTATGTCTTAATAACATAACATAATAATTTATTTAAGAAAATAATAAATACAATAATACAAAATAGTATAAATACACAAATAACATAAATTTACTTAAATTAAATGTTTGCATAATAAATAATAAATATTTCCAATGTTTAACATTGATCATATAAAAAGTAATTAGAATAAGATTTAATAAAAATCCAAAGCATTTTTACAATATATTCTCATTTCCTTATGAATTAATAACATTAAAATGAAATTTTTTTTTTCCATATGATTTAAATATGTTAATAAACAAAAAAAGTAATTATTTTAAACATTGTACAATATAGTTTTCATAGTTTTTTAAAAATATTATATAGATAATTATGAAAAGGTTAGATCAAATGAAATTTTTTTTTCATATAGTTTAATATGTGAATAAACAAAAAAAGTAATTATTTTAAACATTGTGCAATATAGTTTTTATAGTTTTTAAAAAATATTATATAGATAATCATGGAAAGGTTAGATCAAATGTTTAAAAAAATGTAGTAATTAACAAATTATAAAAAATTAACAGTATTATGAACAATAAAATACTAATCTAGCAGTAATGATTATGCTTATTATATTTTTCACAACAAGGTTGTGTAAATTCAATGCTAAGAAAGTGATCTTGTCATTTCTATATCAACAAGAATTTCGTCAATATAATATGGAATTTTATCCAACTGAATTTTTCAGGTGCCAGTTACACTGCTGCATGACAGGTATTTAGATAGCCACCATGGAGTGCTGGCAGAAAACATGTAGTCGCGTATGGCTTACTCACTCACGGACTCGCGACGCACAGGGAACATATTTCCATTTAGTCGGTACTTGTAATTGTTTACGGTTACGGCCACAACCACCGCAACAAAACAGTATCCTTCCGGCACTCAGGACTCGCCTACCTAGTGCGGACAGGAATGACCTACGTATAGGTGCAGGCTGTTTTTCCGTTGCATCCTCATCGATACTTATCACGTTTATCTCCTCCTCTTCCTCCAATGACACAATATTTTCCTCATCATCAAATGGCAAGATTTCCTCTTCAGCAATTGAAAAGATTTTATCATCTTCCACATCGGACATAATTGGCTCCGAGAGCGATGTACCTGACGGCCACTTTTGCTTTAACTCCGAAGGGCGCAATTTATCTTCATTCACTGGCCCCGCTAAATCCGAGTACGAGGCCGACCTTAGGTCCAAGTCTGACAGCCACATCAGGCTTAAATCTGATGGGCCTAATTGTCTTTTGCTGCTTCTTGCTGACATCAGCTCCGAGTGCAATTCCGTCTTTAGCGCCGATTATGTTGGCAATGTCTGCTCTACAGTTAGGGGCTGCAGTTGTTTATCGTCCGATCCGCACTTAAGCTCCGAGTGCGAGGTTGAAGAAAGTTCTGACATCGATGGCATTGTCTGATTTTCTATGTTTGGCAACACCAATTTTTCATCGATCGTGGCACACTTAAGCTCCGAATGCGATGCTGACCAACGTCCCAAATTCGAAGTCTGCTCTAAGTTAGATGGCAGAGATTGTTCATCGTCGGTTGGCCACTTTACCCCCGAGTTCAATGATGAGTCACACTTTCTCAACATGTATTGATGATAAGTCCGAAGGGGGTGTTTCAGGTCTCAGACTCTGGTCCGATTCTGAAATAGATTCCCAGTCCCGTGGCACCTCCCTGTCCGATGGCCACTGCTCCTCCAAATCCAATGACCACAGAAACTCAGACTGCGTTTCCGAACTAAATGACGAGTTCATTCGCTCATCAAACTATGACCAGAGGCGCGATGTTAAATTTGGATCAGTGTTCTCGTCAGTTTTCCGTTTGTCTGGGCAATCTTTTTTCACGCTGAAATAATTGAGCGTGCTTACTGCAACTATTTCTGCAGTTGTCTTTTCTGGTAAACGCACATCCGAAGATCTGTGCCGACATACGTCTTCGTCCGAAGAATCGTCGTCGTCCGAGTCACATGACGCAGATGAGCTGTTGCGAATCGGCACCAAGTACTTGCTCCGTATCAAGGCCAAGCGTATCTCTTCGAACAGCTCGTCCAGCGTCCCTGTAATTTCAGCTACCAATGGTCCCTTATCGTTATCCGTTATCGTTGTATCTCCTTCATTCAAGCTAGTTTCCGTATTAATTTGCGTATTAACCGTGGTGGTGCTAGAGTTTAATATAATTGACCTTTGGGACGCGCACCACATGCTCCCGAATACCCGGAACTTGTTATGTTTGTTTTGTGTTATGTGTTCATTTTTTTTGGAATGCGTTTAAACCTACCGCGAGGTTTTAAGAGATTTACTAATAGCTAGAAGGCTCTCTCCGACCTTACCAGCCCCAACTAGTGAAAGTAAGAGCTGGCTCAGGACCTCTTAGTGAGACTCAGATATCGAATATCTGAGTCCGCAAGCTCCCCCACCACGACAAAGTGGGTCCCATAGGGGGAGAGACCAATAGGTAGGTAGAAACGTAAATTAAAAACGCAAAAAAAACAGTAAATGGTCAGTTGTAAGATAGGACAAAAATAAACTAAAAATAAATATAAATAAATATAAAACAAACTAGGTAATCAAACAATATTTTCAATTAAGTCATGCATTACAGTATATCTAAACACAATATTATTACATACCTAGTAAAATACTTAAGATTTACAATTTCAATGTAGTGTTTAAAATGAGTACCTATAGTCATTACCAAAAATAGGTAAATTTATTAATAAAATGTATTTTCATGTAAGTTGTTTTTAAGTATTCGAGGTAGGTTGAAACTTTTTTCAACAAATAAATTACCTATATAATTAGCTATTATTACACTGTCGATGTACAGTATAGCCGTATAACCACGGAACGGTGTTAAAAAGTTCGGGGTAGGTAAGTATAGTTATCTTAAAACTTCTAAATTTATTGAAAATGCCATTGTGTTTATGTTTAAACAAATAATAATAATAATAAATAAATAATAATATACATAGTGATGAAAAGTTTTGAATCCCAACGAATTATATTTTTTGTAACACATTTTTTATAATTGTTATTTTTCTTTGAAAATAGTTAATTTTGAACTCGAAACACACTTCTATAAAAGAATTGATGAATATATTCCAACCCTATTTTCGATATTTTTAACTTGCCTTTACATAAATGGAAATTAAACTAAGATTAGTTAAATATTTAAAATCTTTCAAATACTTCAAAAAGATCCAAGAAATTGAAATTGTGAAATGTTTATTTTGTTTTTAGATGCTAATGTAAATATTTGATAAAAAAAATCAAGTCTCTACAATTTGTTGTTGAATTTTTTTGATACAAAAATTACAAAATATACTAAAAAAACTTACATTATTGTAGAACTAATATTCACAACTTCGCTCATAATCAAATATGTTGGTGTTAAACAGAGTTATATATTACCGTTGGGCATCGATGTAAGTTTTCCAAAAGCACAGTCATCATATCGGTTGTTGTCACTCCACATTTTACAGTTTTGAAATCAAGTTTTCAGAAAATAAATACAATAGATAATAATTAGTATAATA